AACTAAGGACATGGTCCTGCCCTTTGAAGTCAGTGAATCATTATGCCATTGATTGATGCTGGAGTAAGACTGGCCCTTATAAAAGAGTCAGAATCAAAGCATTTCAAAATATCTTGCAATACTTAGAAGAAATGACAAATGGAGATTGCAGGAAAGATGGAGAAAGGAACAAGCAAAGAGAGACTGACAAAAGACCATTTCCCCCCCTGCTGATTGGTAAATCATGTAAAGTGTGATGAGCTGAAGAATGTCAACTTTTAAAGAAAAATTGGTGACACTGAAGATGAAGGGCAGTGACCTCCGAAACACACAAGCCCTGGATGATGCACAGGTTGTTTAAAGCAGCCATCACTGGGCTTGCAACTGGACCACATGGGAGTGAACAGCAAAGCCACCACAGCAAGACAGCAGAGATATTTGATACGTTTAGGTAGGAAAAACAAAAACAAAAAACCAAGAGGCACAAGAGAGGCAGTCTCATCAGTAACCCAGATGCATAATATGTATGTTATTAAAGGTCAGTACCAATACCTTGATTTCACCTGGAAACCTGTAGGTGACCAGTGAGGAAGAGTTAGCATCAGTTTCTGAACCATCTCAAGTAGAACCGTTTATTGCAATAGTCTCAGACCAAGGTGAGAAAGGCCTGAATAAGTATAGCATGCTGCAGACCCAAAATGAGAGATTTTTTCCATATACCTTGCTAAGTGCAGATGAAGAAACATACTCTTCAATACAGCTACTCTCTGGACATCTAGGAGTAGCCATTGGTCTAATTCAGCTTCTCTCATCCAGGACTCCTTGGTCCAGCAACGTCCATGGTCCAGCATTATTGGGGATCCTGTGGGTGCTCCTGGGTTGGAGCACTCATGGAGAAAAACAGTGCAGTAGGACTACGGATATTGCCAGACCAGAGTGCCAGGCTGGTGGCTGAGGGGGGAGCCCCAAGGCCGGGGGTTCTTGGCTGGGGTTGGAGCTCAGCAATTGGGGCTGGGGGGCAGAGTCTGGTGGCTGGGAGTGGATCCCAGAAAGTGGAGTTCAACAGCAGAGTGGCCAGTATTGACTTCCCCTGGTCTGGCAAACTCCCTGGTTCAGGTCCGGAGGGTACCAGACCAGGGCAGTCCAACCAGTATAGACCCCTGTGCTATGAACCTGATTGACCAATACTGACACTATATGCTGAGAATAACTTGGGTTTTTTTGCGGTATTTTGCAAGAGAGCCTGTGTGGAAGAACTATGCATGCTAAGGAAGCATTTGCTGAGATGCGCGTACCTGGTGGAGGCAGCCAAGCAGCACAAAGTATATTTAGAGAGAGCTGAAGCTGAGCCTCAACAGCAGCATATTGTGCTTGCAGATCATCATGTACAAGGAATAAATTACAGTTGAGTTTGTCAACTAATTTGGTAGAGGTATGAATTCTTTATCTATTAATCAATGTAGAGACGCATTGAAGCAGCTATAAACCATTCATCTCACTTTAGTTTCTTGTTTCAGTTTAATTAGAGATGGCCTGAATTGATTGGAAAAATGTGAGGTATCTCTGAATTATAGAGGTGTCAAATGGAGTCTCATTGGCTTTGTGAGATCCCGGAAATAGCAGGTCAAGTAGCCTGGACTCTTTTCCAAAACTAATACTCATAAAAACCTCGAAGGGCCCAGAGAGAAACCTTCTAATGGCTCACGAAATATGTTAGTTTGCTGTGGAATATAGAGTGAATAAATATGGCCCTCTCGTAGTGGTCCATTTGTGGGGAAAGCAGGCAGCCGATGTTATGTGTTTGGTTGAGTTGGTATGGGTGTATGGTAAGTATTATACACCAAGCCCTCCTCCTAAAATAACGTCTCCAAACAAGTTCTTCAAAACAGGGAGGAGAGTTGTAACCTCCAAACAATCACAAAAGTCTCTCACACCCCTCAAAGCTTTTGATATGGTTTGAGGGGTGATCAAAGGTTTCAGATAGGGAAAAACAAAAGGTTCAACATTTGTGTTTGGCTTGACAGTTATACCAAACTTCAGATGCTTAGCAAAACTGTTTGAACCTCTATGTTCTGTGTAGAAAGGCTAAAAATCAAGTATGTTGTTGGTTCCAGGTGTAAGTACTCGGTGGACAGTTTTTCTGTGGCATTTGACTAGGTCTGATTCCATTCCCAGTGTGGAAACAAGTGAAGAAAATGTATATCCACACATTTCAGAAAATCATAAGAGGTTTGGCTTGATTTTAGCTTGTATCTAAAAATGGGGAGAGGGCTTGGGATTGGAGTTAAAGGTGAGATTGGGAACCCATCAGTCACACCAATATATACAATGTGCTTTGACTCTGGTCCTTAATATGAACTGGTTCGCTCCTCTGTTGTGTCTACATCGTCTTTTCTTGTTAATCAGTTTCTCTGCCACTAATTACTAGGTATTTGTATAAAGGATGGAGGACAATTACAGTCTTCAGGAAACTGATATTTTTTCACTTTTTAGCATGATCCTGACTCTGTATCCACTAAAATGTTGGTATAATTATCATTGACTTTAACAGGAACAGTGGTAGGCTGATACCAAACATTTTTAAAGATCCCATGCAGGATGTTTTATTTTTTCCCTGTTAAGCAGAATTTTGAAGGGGTTATAAATATAGGTATAACAATTGTACACAGATACTGTAATTCATATTCCGTAATTTATACAAAGCTTCAGTGGGTCATTTTGATTACTTCTTATTTTAACCAGAGAAATTACAATATAATATTTGAAAGAATAAAATGATAAATATTAGCTGCTTTACTTGCTGCAGCTAGGTGTTCTCTCAATAAAACATCAACAGCACACAAGAGATCATATACTGAAACTCATATACCAGTGTCACCAAAATATTATGGGTAAATGTGGGTCTCTAATCCATTCCATAAAGATAATTATTTAATTGCTAGTATCCCATATTTTTTATTTGCATGTACAGTTTTCAAGTTTTTTCATTGGTAGATTTTGACAGCATTCGTATATCCTAGTTTTGAGATGTCTGGCTCTGAGATTTGTGAAAATATTTTTTTAAAAACAAGCATTTTGGAGGTACCTGTCTAGCTCTCAGAATCATAGAATATGAGGGTTGGAAGAGACCTCAGGAGGTCAAATAGTCCATCCCCCTGCAGCTGCTCAATCCAGGACCAAATTCAACATGTCCTCTCTCAGTGGACAGGTGCCCATGGCATAAAAACCATGATCCCATTTGGTACCCCCTTGGCAATGTATGTAAAAAAGCTGGAATTTGTGAGACAAAGAAACAACACAATGCTCTTATTTCAAAAGTTGTTCTCTCCGGCTGCATCTAGACTGGCATGATTTTGCGGAAATACTTTTAACAGAAAAGTTTTTGCGCAAAATCTTGCCAGTCTAGATGCACCCTCCATGGCTATGCAGGAGCATACAAGTGAGATCAGGTGAAGGGACTTGCAAGGCTGCTGCCTTTGCTGTTCCCAATCTGTAGCTAGGTAGAGGACTTCCACTTTCAGGATAATTTAGTCTGATATCCTTTAACCAGCATTAATAAAGCTTGCTGCAAAGCTCATCTTTCCATACACACTTCCAAAATAGTCATGGATTGATGGATGAAGGCCTCAGTGGGTTTGTGGTGAGGTTGCTGGGATGAGTTGGTTTTGATGGCTTGGAGAGGCCACTAATTAATAATACAGTAGTTTCAAATGCAGTTTTAAAATGTTTGACTAGGTGTTTGTACAATGCAAAGTGCTTAGAACTCAGGGCAGGCACTGTAACAGTCAAAATAAATAACATTCACACACAAATATAAGTCACTCATTATATTTTATCATCTATATCTGCAGAGAGGGCCAGCACACTGTGGCGAACCATGTCAGTCTGATGCATGGTGCCGTGTGTGCACTAAGCACTTGCCTTTGCTATAGTCTCTCCTAGTGCCCTCTTGTGATGGCATAATTCCATGCTGCTTCCTCCACAGGGCTGTGGATTAAAAGACATGAGCCCAATGTAATGTGAAAACTTCTACTGAGACATCTGATGTCACAAGGAAAGTGTCTTGATATCTATTTAAAAAATTCTGACCAATTTTGCCAGATATAAGCGGTGACGAGGAAATGTGATAGCAAGTTGTATAGCATAGATAAGATTTTCCTTTGGCAAATTCTTTGCTCTTATTGTCGCACAAAATGTTATTAGAAGTTGCCTCAGTTAGGTCTTTTTAATGTATTCATATTGCTTACATAAGGCATTTTAGTAGGAATATTTTCACTGCAGCAAATACCATAAACACTTTCTACACTACAGTATCTTATACTGCCACCAGAATTGGTTCTTCTGATGGTTCATTTCTTTTATGCTGAAAATTCGGGACCAATTCAGCTTGGTTTTATGCATCATTAGAGATTTACAATTACTTTGCTATAGTTTCTTTCTGGAAGCCTATCTCTCATGGTTAATGCTATGGATGTCCTGTTGTGTAGAGGCTGGTGTTAGCTACCTTATAGCAATAAAGTGTTTGAGAAGGATTTAGAATTATGAGTGGCAAAATTCCCCATGCAGTGACTATAATACTGTTATCCCTTGCTGAGCTTGGGTTGAAATATTTCTTCATCTGTTCAAATTAGGAAAAAATGTTGCTTCTTTAAGAGGTTTTGAGGCATTTACATATCATTTTTGCTGAATTACTGCAAGTGGAGATGAGAAAATTTTAAAAAATTCCATTTGGGTTTCCTGATACTTAAAGTACAATGTGGTTGTATTAGAATATGATAAACAGGAAGCCTGCCTCACTTTTGACCCAACCAGTTTGAAAGCAGGTAATGATTAGGACCTAATATTGTTTGAATTTACTTATGTTGCTAAATTTCATAAAAAAACCTGTTAATCTAGCATGAAGTTAGAAAAAAAAGCCATGCTGAATGTATTGCAGGGCAGTGTTTTGGAAGACTATGGAAGGTTGTATGGTGTCTTTTAACCCATGGTTATAACCCAGTAATCTTTCTTCTTTTACATAGAAGAACTTGGATCCCTAAGAGAATGAATAGAGCTGATTTATAAGAGTCTGATACGTGCTGCTCATGTAAGTGTGTATCTTTTGAGTATCCTTTAATTAAACCATTTTGGAACAAAGCTGAAAAAAGGCACGGCGCCTTTCTGATTAAATAATTCCATCAATTATTGCTGTGTCTTTACTTGATGGAATATATTTATACATCATATACCTTATATGAATATGATGTATACATATATTTCATAGCTAAACATGCCAGAATCCTCTGAGTTCAATGGTTGGATGGTTTACAGAGTCTGATTCTTAATGAAATAAATGTTATTTCATTCCTGCCCTTTTATTTCTAGTTCTGCATAGTCACTGTATTTGCTTTTACCTTGCAATACTATATCATTTATTACCTACATTTTTGCTTATTTTTTTCCCGCTGTCTTAAAATATTTGCTAACTATTTGGGTTCCTTTGTGTAGAGGTACAGAATCAGCCAACAGAAAGAATGTGCCTGTTCATCTCTAAACATATGACATATTAGGAAACCATAGGAAAATATTCTGATAAGATAACAGTGGAAGTCTTTTATGAACAGTGTTTCCAGTGAAGTGTGTCTCCAAAAGGCCTAAGTTCCCATGAAGTTATAAATGTCTGTAAATAGGCAATTCCTGTGTAAGTTTTATAGTAACCAGAGATTATTTTTTCATGTTCATTTCCAAATCTACCTTGTTCACCTCCTATTTTGATAACACACCAATTGCCCTAATACTATGAAAAACATTGTTATGTGATAACCTTTGAATTGCCAAATGCTGAATCAAATTGAAACCTGAAGTAAATAGGTGCAACTCCCATAAAAGTCTCTGGGAGAAATGCACCCACAAATCTTCCAACATGGGGATCATTGTGTGGCTCTTCAGTTGAGAGCCAACTTCTCATAGTTTGGGGAAGGTAGTTGGTAGAAGTTCTAATGAAGCCCATTGGCTTCTGTTCAACAATAGGGAGGGCATATAGACCTTATTTTATCTACTAGATGCCATTCTACATTGGACTAGTAGTTCCCACTCTCTCACCCACACAATTAGTGTTGTTGGATCTGTTGTGGGCATTGTGCTAGTTGCCTCTGGGGACTGGGAAGGAATTTTGTGGGCACAGTGCTAGTTTCATCTCTCTCAGGTGGGGACATGGTGGGTACAACAAGGGAGGTAAGGTCCAAGTTGATTCAGCTTGGCAGTGGCGGTGCAATGCAGGTGCAATATAGAGCAGATAATTGTTCAATAGGGATCTGTTCCCTGATAAACCAGATAGGAAGTGAATTATGGGGAAGCTGGGGGAAGTGGCCAATGCTTTTAATGTGCCCCATCCCTTAACCATCATACTCTGGGTGATGGTATCCCAACAATGCTCTGCCACTCGGTGTGGGAGGAGTAGGGGGTTGACAGCAGCCCTCCATCAGGTGGAGTGTATTATTGAATGAAAGAATGACCTGCATTGTATGAGTTATTGCTGGATAATTCAGAGGAAAGGTAAGTTGATAAGATTGTGGCCAGTTAAAGCACATCTCTTGCATCATCTTTCTTCATTTATGTCCAGGACACTTCATTAGTGGGATAAAGAGGACTATAAGTGACGGTTATAGTATCAGTTTACACCACCTTGTTTTGACTGGCTCTCAGTCAAATGTAATGTATTAGTGATCACAGGAGTACATTTTGAGAACATTTTATTTTGCTGTTTGAGATGGAGCAGCTTACAAGTGGCTAGTAAATTAAATACTCTTTGTCTTGGCTACAGAGATTTCTGAAGCATTGTGAAGTGCCCCTCCCTTTGCACCTTTGGCTAATGCATGAGAGGGGATACTGAATAGGTGGACCACTGGTCTGATACAGTATGGCAGTTGCTATGTATCAGTCCTCCACATGTCAATATACAATATGAATTAATACAGTATAATGTACAAATGTACAAGGAGTCAAAAATGCCTCTTATAATACAGTTATGTCCATTCTAGAACAGCACAAAAATCAGCACTTCAGACTGCTTGGCTTTAATTGGGCAGTTCCGGGAAGGCAAGGTCCAGAGTGTTTTCCACATCACATAATTCAAGAGAAAAATTACAATTCCAATTACAATTGCAGCCATTTTTGGCCTTGAGAAACCTATGTTAATATTTATTATTATGTGATTGACCTATGATTTCTTCAACATTTACATTAGCAACCTAGGATATTCATAGTAACATCCTTTAAATCATGTAAGCAGAAGTCAACGGTGCACAGTGAAATCACATACTGCCATTTATTTATTTAGCTAGTACAATCTTTCTTGACAAGACAACCATATGAAATGCATCATCTCATTTCCATAGAGTCTCTAGAGGACATCAAGCACATATAATCATATAATACATTTTCTATAATCTCACAAAATGAGTCAATTCAATCCTAGGTACAAACAATAAAATAAAGCCAGTCTTTCAATACCAGCATTGACTGACATCATCTGTACATGCCAGGAACATACTGACTTAGCTCTTTAACAACAGGTATCACCTTTACACATTTTTTGAAGGAATTCTGAGAGAAAAAATGGGGAAATTAATTTTCTTTATCCTCTTTCCTAATTTTGGAACTTTGATTTTAAAGAAATTGAAATTGAAATCAGTTTCTACAGTTTTATAGGAATTTAAGATAGAAATCTTTGATCTCTTTATGGGGTTTTCTTGAATGATATGAAAATAGTATGCAAAAAATCCTTTTATTGCCTGGTCATTTAAGTTAATATGAGTTGCTCATTTATATCCAAAGGTAGAATCTGTTGCCTCTATTGCCATTTTCCAAACATGCTCCCTGCCAATGACTGAAGGATACTGAATTAATAGTTCTAGTTTTCAGTAAATATGCTCTTCTGATAATCTTTATTAATAGATAAGTACTGCCTGAAAGTCTGGGATGTTGATCCTTTCGACATGATCCAGGGAAAGTGCATATTTATGGGGTGTAGAGCAGCGTGATGGTTGTATTTGAAAATCAGAGCATCACTTCTGCCCACTGATAATAATTAACAGTAATATTCCTAGTACTCAACTTGTTTCATCCAGCAGCACTGTATTTAGTCTGACACAGTAGGTACCACCTTCTGTAAAATACTATAATTCTTATTAACTCGAAAAGAGCTTTTGTGTCTCTAGATTTTTATTAGTGTTTTTAGTCAGGAGAGGGAGGATATAAACGTGGGTCTTTGTTGCTTAGTATAAATATTTTTCACAGATTAGCATCCAGGCAAGCTGACAGTGGCAGCATATAGAAATGAAGATGGTGAGGGGATATGGCACTTGAATATACAGGTGAGGATGCAAGATGAGTCTAGAGCTTGTCACATGACTTCAAAGATTGTAAAATGACTTGGATTTATCTTCTGGGTGAAGGTGGAAAATGTTTCACATATCACATTGCTGTGGATTTGTGGGAAATTTTCAGTCTTCCAGCTGGATTAATAGCATACCTCCCATTTGTGACCCCTCCAACTGAGTTTTTCCCACCGGAGGCCTCAATAGTGTGTCTGTTAGAATCACCTGAGAAAATTTGTCCAATCTGAAAATAAGGACACATAAATGTGGCTCTAGAGCTGATTCTCTTTTGTCATTATTTTGTTTGGGTTAGATTTAAAATGTGCACTGTGAGGCTGTGTCTACACTGGGCCACTTATTCTGGAAAATCAGCCGCTTTTCTGGAATAAGCTGCGAGCTGTCTACACTGGCCTTTGAATTTCTGGAAAAGCAACGATGCTCTACTGTACAAAATCAGCCGCTATTCCGGAAAAGCTACGCTGCTCCCGCTCGGGCATAAGTCCTTATTCCAGAACACTGTTCCGGAAAAGGGCCCCGATCGTCATTTTCGCGATCGGGGCTTTTTTCCAGAAAAGACTACTGGGCTGTCTACACTGGCCCTCTTGCACAAAAACATTTCCGGAAAAGGGCCAGTGTAGACAGCTCGCAGCTTATTCCAGAAAAGCGGCTGATTTTCCAGAATAAGTGGCCCAGTGTAGACACAGCCTGAATGTTTGTAAACGTAAGGTTCACTTTCATGAGGGGCATGAATATTAAATGGACCATCCCACTAAGTCAATATATAGTAAGTGGCATGGCTAAATCCTTCTATTTAGTTAGTTTGATTTATAAAATACATTTTAAAAGTGTCCACCCTGAGTTATTACTTGAAATTACAGAACTCTTGCAAATCCAAGTGGCTTTACCTGTAAATTTAAAAACAGCAGTTTTCAAAGAAGTCAGAAAAATAGACTTTCCCAAAGAAATGTTTAGTTGCAAAATTAGTTTTACAGATAGAAATAATTGTACCAAGGTGCAGCTGGCTGTGAGACTGTCTCCAGTTGTCTGTGAATGTTACGTTACCACCTCCTCATATCAAAACAATGAGCATAATACAGTAAAAGCTGTGTCATCTTGCACTTTATCAACCAGAAACCTATATTAACCAGCATTTCTCATACCTCCTAATACAAATCTTCAATCTAGTAACTGGGACTTGTATACTGACCAGGAGGTCTTGCAATTGCACATTCTGCACTTTACTTTTATGTAAAAGAGACGGAAGACAAGTAATCAAGCTGAAATCAGGGAATTATTCAAAATCTTCTAGGGTGTGTCATAGGGTCATTACAGATTCAGCCCAATTTCCTATAACATCTTCATCTATAAATGATAAGTGATGTGGATAATGATGACCTTGAGATACTGCAAGATCCTGAAGTGCTTTTTGAATCATCAAAGAAAAATTAAATTATGTTCAGTGTTTAGTGATCTGGGTGTACAATGCCATACACTGTCCATACTGATAGGTAGTGTCATAAGAGAACAAGCTGTACAGAAAACTTTACCTGTATATACTTACAGTCTCCAAGAAAACAACCACTCTGCAAAGTGGTATTATTACTGGATTGGTGAGTTCCTGTATACTGTTTTATACATTATTCATTTTATCATATTCTTATTAATTGAAATTGGTATTCCACTGCTAAGTACAACTCTTAGATAACCAGAACGTTTCATTGACCGCCATCCCCCCCATTCCCTCAACATGCCGAATAACAAAGCTTTTACTATATATTTTGTGCTTTGCTTCCAAATTGCCCCTAGATTTTGTAAAACCTCTTGGAAAAGGCAGGCTTTCAATCCTTGCTCCTCTGTGCTTTCTCTTCTCAGCTTCTTTGCATACTCTGCTATTGTCTTATTTTCCCTCTTTTTTTACTTTTAATAATATCATTTAGAGCATTACAAAATTATCTTTTAACTGTAAATTCAGAGCTCTTACACAACTTAATTTTTTTTTAAAGCTTAAAAATGTTGTAAACTAAAACCAGAAAGAACTTTACAGCAGTCTGTAACAGCCAAATGTCCTGACATTTGTTGCCTGAAAACAACTGTCAGTGAACCTAAAAAGTTAACTGGACTCTGGCAGCTTGTTGGCATCTGTGAAACCTACTGCCCAGAAGTATACCGAAGAGGAAGAGAAGAAAGGGATGAGAAAATAAAACCCCCCGACCAGTATCCAGACAAGAGTTCTTGTCATTGTTCTTGCATTGTTTCTTTAGCCCAGATCATCAGCTAAAGGTATACATTGTCACAGAGCCATTGTCTTCACTTGAGATAGGAGACGGTACATCAGCTGACAATCTCCCCCTTAGGTACATCCATGCTACAGAGAAGATGAAAGATGCCAGTCAATTTTCCAGGGTTCGAATTAGTGGGTCTAGTGAAGACACACTAATTCAAACTGAGTGGGGCACTCTGGTCGATGCCGGTAGTCCTGCTTCCATGAGGAGGAAGGGAAGTCGAAGGCAGAGTGTTCTCCCTTCCACTTCCTGCAGTGCGGACAGCGCCAAAAGCCGAAGGAAGCTACTTCGACTTCAGCTGCGCAATTAACGGAGCTGACATTGCACATCTGAGTTCAACCCTGTCCCCTAGTATAGCTGGACCCTGAGTTATGCCCCACTGGGTCGTTGGGTACCAGCCAGGACTGTCTTGAAATCGACTCCTTCCTGCCTGCTGTCAGCTAAAGGAGCTCCCCATAGGGGCAATACCTCCCCTCCCCCATTTGTTTCCAAGTTCCCTGTTCTTTACAACATCATCTATCAAGGAGTTCCATGGGTTGACTGTGCACCGTGTGGAAAAAAAAAACTTTTGTTTGTTTTAAACCAGCTACCTATTAATTTAATTTGGTGACCCTTGGTTATTATATTATGGGAACAAGTAAATAATTTTTCCTTCTTCACTTTTTCCACATCAGTCATGATTTTATAGACCTCTATCATATCCCCCCTTAGTCTCCTCTTTTCTAAGCTGAAAAGTCCAAGTCTTTTTAATCTCTCTTCATATAGGACCTGTACAAAACTCTTATAATTCTTGTTGCCTTTTTCTGAATCTTTTCCAATGCCAATATATCTTTTTTGAGATGAAGTGACCACATCCGTACACAGTTTTCAAAATGTGGGCGTACCATGGTTGTATATAGAGGCAATAAGATATTCTCTGTCTTATTCTTTATCCCTTTTTAAATGATTCCTAACATTGGGTGTGTCTAGACTACAGGGTTTTGTTGACAAAAGTGGGGTTTTGTCGACAAAACTATAACTGCATCTACACTGCCGCTGAGTTCTGTTGACATAATCAAGAATAGCTTCTCCCCTTATGGGTTCCAGAACCAGCTGCTCCAAGAAGCAGTCATTTAAGGTATCAAGAAATCCCAGAATATTACTGAGCATTTTATTTTGATTGGCTCTCTAATCTCCCTTAGCATTTCATAGTTATTATCACTATCTTGTGGTGGTTGACAATACATACTGCGGTATTTGTATTATTAGAGCATGGAATTACTATCCATAGAGATTCTATGGAATATTTTGGTTCATTTAAGATTTTTACTTCATTTGATTCTACATTTTCTTTCACGTATAGTTCCACTCCCCCACAGGTACGACAGGTACTGTCCTTCTGACATATTTTGTACCCTGGTATGACTGCATCCCATTGATTGTCCTGATTCCACCAAGTTTCAATTATGCCTATTATATCAATATACTCCTTTAATACGAGGCACTCTAATTCACTCATCTTATTTAGACTTCTAGTGTTTGTGTATAAGCACCCAAGTTAAGTTTCTTCGACTTCAGTTACTCAATTAACATAGCTGAAGTTGCATATCTTAATTCGACCTTGTCCCATAGTGTGGACATGCCCTTAGTGTTTTCTTTCTTTCATTCAACATTATCTATAAACCCAGAGTTGCTTTACTATCCAAATGAAGGCCCTAGTCCTAGTAGCACTGATTATCATACTCTGTGCTAAGAAGTTGTGCTTTCTAAAATTGCCACAATAGGAACAGGTTTTATTCTAGTTACATTTACATTTTTGTTTTATATTTGCAACAATAGCAAAAAAACAAAACAAAACAAAACAAAACAAAACAGGATACAAACCTTTGCCAGCAGCAAATCCCTGAAACTGGGACCACATGAAAACCAATAATGAATTATATCTACATTTATGTCATTCATTTTGAACCACTGATGGAAGTTTTAATTTTTGATGTTTTTGATGTTTTTTCACATGGGAGAAACATGAAGCAAGGATGTATCTAAGAGGAACAGCAATATTACTGTTTATTGCCAGGTGTTCAGACGCAATGGCAGTGCATATAATGTAGGCAGAAAAGTGTAGGGATGGAATAGGATAATAAGTGACAACCTTTTCTTGTTATTTCAGTTGATGGAACTGTCATCCCTAAGCATGTTGTTGTAAACAGAAAAGGCCGATATATAAACCCTCTGGAAGTAAATGGAAAAACTCCCACTAACTCCTGGTGAGGTCCCTAATGAATGTTCTTCATTCATACAATTTACTCGAACAGAAGGTCAATGCATAGAAACTATAGCAAGTGTAGGATTGAACCATCTTGTGTTTGGCAAAGATTCAGTCACTTTGTAGGGGAGGCATATTTAATGCTTTGTATTTGTGTCATGGAGGAGTGCAAGTCCTCTGTTGTCCCCTCATCAGTGATCCCTCAATACAGAGCTAAAAGGTATTTTGCCATTTTAGAATTAAATATTCAATTAGTCTTAACATGGGAAGTTGATGGTTGTACTCTCCAAACAGGGACTGCTTTCTTTCCTTGTACCATTCTCCAATATGCTGCATGTTTCTGCATTGGATTCTAGATACTGCCTGTATATCGTGGTGCACTTAATTTATTAATTTTGCTCTCTGACATTGGAAAGTGGATGGGAAATTTTTGAAACACTGTATTTGTTTAATGGGTAATTAATTTTCAAGCTTTGTGTAGTTTCATATGTTTTCATAGAAGAAATGAGAAACAGGTAAAGTTATGGCTGAGTCAAAATTTAAATTCTTATGTCTTTGGCAGCTTTCAAGCTTATCATGCCAAATACCCTTCTTTCCACATCAGCCTACACTTTGAACACAGAGGGCTTCATTCAAGCTCTGCTTGGGCACAGTGGAGAGAAGATGTCAGGGAGTTGGTTGTGACCAAGTGTCAGGTATCTGGTCCTGCAGTTATGCTGGAAGAGATTTCTCCCTTAACAATCTTTGGTCACTTTAGGTTCACTTTGAGACACATAGATGAAGTAGGTTTTTTCCAAATTTGCAAGGAATCTGATCCAGAAAACATAAACACTGCTCTCATACTGACACTATATTTTCTGATACTCTGAAACTTAAACTCTGTACTTATTTCCTTGGGCTCTTTATCCTCTCTTCTTGGGACTATAGAAGTAATTTTCCTGTATCAAATCAGGATAAGCAGAAATCACTGCTAAAGAAACAAAACATGAGATTGGTCATGCAGAAAAACAGGAAGATGCCTGTAAGCTACCAGAAAACTTCAAAAATGTTTCTAATTGCAAAAGAGTATTTTAAAATGTAATTTTACTTTTGTAGCTCTAGATGGGTAGTATAACAAGAGCAGCAGGTGGTGATGCTGTCATAAGGATTCAGCAAACCATCCCTAAGCATGTGCTGATTTAAGCACGTGCTGAAATCCAGCTGACTTCATGGGATTTAAGCAGGTATGCTTTGTTGAGCTGGGGCCATAATAAACTATCTGCCCTGCTTGAGGTTTTCATGCTAGTATTCCCTTTTGAGATCTAAAGCAACTGAACTTTTCCAAATGTTTATGGCTATCACCAGTTAACATGTACCAGTGCATAACCTTTACATTTTTAATTCTGACTGCCCTCCCACCATTTCTTCTCCCCACCCACCTTCTCTGCTCCACTTTCTGGGTATGTCTACACATCAAAGTTAATTCGAAATAACAGCCATTATTTCAAATTAACTTTAATAGCATCCATACAGGCAAACTGCTATGTCAAAATAAATTCGAAATCGTGGGGCGCTTAATTTGAATTAGTTAAACCTCATTCTATGAGGAATAATGCCAAATTCGAAATAGCTAATTCAAAATAAGCGCTATGTAGATGCTTATTTCAAAATAGGGGGCCTCCAGCCCTTCCCAGGGAGCTCTGGTGGCCACTCTGGGCCAAACCAGGAAAACCCCTCTCTGCTTCCCCAGCCCTGGAGCCCTTAAATGGGTAGACTCTGGCCACACTGCATGTGCCAGCTACCTGCCAGCAAACACAGAGCCAGCAGTCACTGATCCTACCCAGTGGTCCCAATATGAGCCAGGCAGCCAGATCCAGCCAGCCCTCCACCACCCAGTTCCCCAGCTCTCAGGAGCCAGCTAGGGGCCGAAGAAGGCGGGTGCCATCCTGGACTAGTGCGAAGATCATGGACCTCATTGAGGTTTGGGGGAGGCCTCTAGCATCTATGATCTCTACACTAGATGGAGGAATGTGGCCATCTACAGCCGTGTCAGCAGGCAGGAGGGGCTACCCCGCCTGGGGTCTGTCAGTCCACTCTCTGCCTATGGCCCCACCAGGCCAAGTACCCTCTCTGTGCTCCCCGTTACCCGCGTCGTTGACAGTCTGATGACGCTGTCATCCCAAAGTCCTCTGCCTCCCGTCTGACTTTTGGCTAGTTGGCAGGGGAAGGTAGGGGGGCTCAGGCCTGCCTTCACTCCAAGCCCGTACCCAGGGCTCTGAGGACTGGGACCGGGGTCCCAATTCCAGTTGGTGGGGGTTCCACCCCACAACGCACCAACCCCCCAGGTTGCTACCCTGCCCTGGGTTGCTTCCTACCTTCCCAAAGTCCTCTGCCTCCCGTCTGACTTTTGGCTAGTTGGCAGGGGAAGGTAGGGGGGCTCAGGCCTGCCTTCACTCCAAGCCCGTACCCAGGGCTCTGAGGACTGGGACCGGGGTCCCAATTCCAGTTGGTGGGGGTTCCACCCCACAACGCACCAACCCCCCAGGTTGCTACCCTGCCCTGGGTTGCTTCCTACCTCCCTTGCTCTCATGCTGTGGTTCAGGGTCACCCCTCCGTTCTCCTCATCTCCCTGCTTCGGCGCGTCTTTTAAACGACC